GGTCCAGCGGCTGATCTCGCCCACCGTGAAGGCCCGCCGCGTGAAGAAGGTCCGCCTCGCGATGGAGCAGGTCCGCCGCTCCGCCGAGGAGCGCCGCAACTTCCTGCAGACGATCGCCACCCAGCGCCGCGCCCGCCGTCAGCGGAAGCACTCCGCGAAGCACGCCCGCAAGGTCATCGCGCAGAAGGCCGAGGTCGCCGCTTTCCAGAAGAAGTAGGACCCATGAAGCCGCTTCCGCATGGCGTGTTAGGGGTATGGCGTGTTATTGAAGCCAATTACAAGTGAATTTATTTTGTAATTTTCCTAAAAGTAATTTAAAAAGGTTCGTAATGGGCTGACTATAGCCCCCACCATCTCCTAATAAGGCACTGAGAGTGTGTTGTTGAATTATCTTCCCAAGATAGTCTGTTTTTAATCCGTTTTTTTCCTCATTTGCACTTTGTACTTATCACTTTTGAATACTCCAAGGTAGTGGACCGAGTAGGTTCTCGCGTGTAAGTATTTATTAGAGTTGTTTTCTTGTAATCAAGTAGCCAAGGCCCATATAACTGGACGTGTATTTTTTAGTAGATCAAAGTTTTCAAATACCGAAAGACTTACATATTTTATTTAGTATTTCTGGAGTAGCAGATAGCTGAGAACCATTTCTATCATAGGAAAACAATTCTCTGACGTGTTCCTAGTGAAGACGCCAACACTAAGACATACGTTCAATTCGTTAGCGAGGGCTTTATTTTTACGAGCAAGAGAAGGAGAGGTGAAGTAGGTGGAAAAAAGGATATCTCTGTATTAGCCCCATGTCGCGTCGTATGTATGTTCGTAATATGAATGGAGAGATCTCCAAAACCTGGCGCTATGGCATTGCCGAGGCCAACACCATGGGGGTGAACGTCGCGACCTTCGGTGCGACAGGGGTGCTTGGTAGCCATATCCACACCGTCAATTCGATGCATGGGTATACCAACATCATCCCATTCCGTTTTCGAGGTGGCATTGCGAGCGGTGCACGCCAGCTACGTGCGATGGGGGACGGCACCATAGGTCAGAACTTTGAAACTGACTATGAGATCGATAAGGAGTTCGTCGTCAAAGCCATCTTGGAGAAGGTGGATAACGTGGTTAACTGCGTCGGTGCGTGGCAGGAGCCGACCATCTACGAGAATAGCCAGTCTTGGTTTTCAATGGAGGCGATCAACGTAGAGTGGCCGAGGATGCTGGCGCGGTGGTCTCGCGAGTTGGGTATCCTCAAACTTACCCACGTCTCCATGGTGGGGGCGGACCTCAACAGCCCCTCAAAGCTTTTGCGGCAGAAACGTGAAGCCGAGCTGGCTGTTCTGGAAGAGTTCCCAACCGCCACGATTATTCGGAGCACCGACATCTTTGCTGAGGATGATTTTAGCTACTCGAAATACCTCAAGGCGCAACGCTACTGGAAGGTGGTGCCGGTTCCCAATAAAGGTCAGCGCATCCACCAGCCTGTGTTTGCCGGAGATATCGCCGAAGCCGTCGCGCGCTCGCTTTTGTTAGACCACACCGAGGGCCGCATTGCGGAGTTAGGCGGTCCTGTCCGCTTCACCACTAACGACATCCTGCGATGGTGTGCGGAGTGCAATTCGTTGAAAAATTTTGTGGTGCCCATGCCCACGTGGTTCTTCAGAATTCTTTGCCACGTTAACGAGCGGTTTCCTTTTCACAAGGGCGCCCTTTTCGGCACCAAGCCGCCTACGTGGAATAAGGATTGGTTGGATCGGCAATTTATCGACAACTGCGCGATGCCGGAGCGAGACCCGGAGTTGTTGGACTGGGAGGACTTCGGTATCCCACGCGAGGATCTCTACCGTATGGAGGAGAAGTACTTCATAACATCAGGTATGTGGGCAAAGATGCTGCCATATACCGACTATGGTCACCGTCTGTAGGAAATCAAGTCTACACATTGGATTCAACAACTAGAAAATATCTTAAATGTAGATGCGTCTATATTTCGGTGCTATTCATTGACTTACTTCATTGTGCCGTGGAGTTGAGTAGCGGAAACTTTAAAAAGTTTTTTTTGGGGTATGAGGTTCTTAGCATTCGACAAAATAAGCGGGTTTATTTTTGTTCGATCGACCATTTAGTGATGTAGTGGACACATAGGCATTGCGTAATTTTATTTTCATTTCATCAAACGATTTGTAGCCTCGTAGTTAGTTCCTTTGTTATTTTATTGCGGCTTTAGCAACTAGTTTGACCTTTTATGTCATCATTTTTTTTTACCCTCTCGCGGATTCTGAAACTTGACTTTATTAGTGTTTCATTGAGAACAAATAGGATTCTACTCATCCTTTTATTCTTCTTGTGTTAAATAGCTTGCTCTGGGGGGTGTAATAATTTTCCTAATATCGAGCGCATTCGTTTGGGCTTCTCCTGCTTGCTGCCTTTGTGGGTCTTAATAACCTGAGTAAAACCACCACAAGAAGGTACTGCTAATATAAATGGTTATGAAAATCATATGAACATCCAGGAGTCCACGCGGAATGTCGAAAAGAAAAACTCTATTGTCTCTCACCGTATTTACAAGGATAGCGGGGGGGGAGGGAGGACAGATAGGATTCATCTAGGGAAATGCGTGGGAATGTTTCACCAGGATTTTGACATGTCCAGGCTTCCTCTTTGAGGCTTTTTTCATAAGCAATATTGAGATCGAGGAGCCAATAGCGATCTTCGATGATTTTTATTCATCTTTTGTAAAGCATCAGCTCATCTTGAGAGATGATACGCGCTTTTCACTCGAATACTGCAATTTCACCTGTTTTATACCTTTCGGCTTGTGTTTAAAGTTCTTACCTTGCCAAACATGTCATTGTTTTGCTCTCTTCGCCTTACCACTCCCTTCTGTGATGACAGGATTCACGACAATTGTGCATTTTTTCCTATATACATGGGTGATTTTTTAATTTATTAGCCATACCTTTTCCTTTTCCATACCCATGCTTCACCTATTTTTTTATCCCCACATTATTTTATCCTTTTCTTTCTTTTTCACACAACTTATAACGTCTAACTTTTTAGGAGCCAACTTTATTAACACAAGGATTCATATATCTCTTTTGTGTATCTAAAGAAATAAGACACATAGCATCATGGTCAAGCCCATTATCCCCAAGGCGATCATCAAGAAGCGCACCAAGAAGTTCACGCGCCATCGCTATGAGCTTTTCCCGCAACTGAGCGCGAGCTGGCGTAAGCCTCGCGGTGAGGACTCCCCTGTTCGTCGCCGCTACAAGGGCCAGAAGGCGATGCCTAACAAGGGTTATGGGAGCGATCGCAAGACCAAGTACATCACCCCATCGGGCTTCAAGAACTTCCCGATCCGCAACGTGCAGGATCTGTATATGCTCGTCATGCAGAACCGCAAGTACGCCGGTGTGATCGCGCACACTGTTGGTGCTCGTAGCCGCAAGGCCATCGTGCGCAAGGCCCACGAGCTTGACATCCGCCTCATCAACGGCAACTCCAAGCTTCGCAAGCTGGAGTGCTAGATATGTATGAGGAGTGGGAAAGTAGGCTTGCGGGCGTAGTACCGGAGTTGCCCGACTTTCTAAAGTCTTACATGCTGTTGGCATCCACATGCTTATTTATTAATTTGTGATTAAAAGAGCACGCAGGAAATTAAGCCCTTTTTGAGGGATTGTTCAAACCGTGATTTTTGTTGTATCTGTGCGGTATCCAGAAGGACTTTTTTGTCTAAAACTTCTTTCTATTTTTCATTTTATCACCTTTTTTTTGAAGCTCTTGCAACTTCTATCGAGTCGTATCCTAAGGGGGACGACATTAGATTTTTTTAGTTGCGTTACACGCGTGGAGACGCATTATCGTTATTATTTATTAGAATTTTTAAAAAATTCAAATCGTTCCATCAATCGATCTATCCATATATATATATATATATATACCGGCAAGTAGGTCCTCCGCATTTACGTTTTATGATGACTCTAGGGAAGCGCAAAAATTTGGATGATGCGCCTGTGTACTCCATGCCGCACGAGCAGCAAGTTCAGCTTCTTTCTGATGCTTTATTGCGTGAGTTTATGCACCGACGTGGCTTTCTTGACACCTTGAAGACTTTTGATGAGGAGAACCCGCGCGATGTGGATACCATATCTTCCCGGGCTCTCATGTCAGATTTGATGGCGTTGGATGCTAAGAGTCAGCAACGCTTAAAATCTCAGGGCATTGAGACCATTATGGAAATGCTATGCGCTCTTCGGGTGGAACATCGACAGGAGGTAGAGCAGCTAGCGGCAGAGGCCAATGCGGATCTTCCGGAGGCCCCTTCAGAGGAGGAGCTAGAGCGGCTACGGAAAATGTATCATCGCAAAAAGAAAAAGAGATACACCACAGATTAAAAGCAAAGAAAACATCATCTGTGGGCCCGAAATCCTCGAGAAGTGGAGTCTTGGTAAAAAGTTATATATGTAAAAGTTCTCAAAGGTCATAAAGGTGTGACAAAATCCTTATACAAATTATTAGACAATGTTGGGTCCCTCAAAGTTGCACCCTAAAGTCACTATTACCTATCATCTTTTGACTAGTGATACCATTACTATGATCGCCTTTATACCATAATGTGAAGATAAAAAAAAATGGCCTCGTCGTATACGTTTCGCACCAAAAGAAGGGTAAAATACCAAGACGATTATCGTACGTGCTCCTAATTTTCCTTTCGTTTAGACAAGGAATAATCCCAAGCAGGATGGTGGCGTAAGATGTGCTTGGTGTTATGAATTTTCTCGGTTGCATCTCTCTAATAGGTTTGTAGCGATGGCGCCTGTCTAAGGGCTTTGCTGTTCCAGTTTCTGTAGTAACCCTTGATATTTTAATCAATAAACACGTATTCTCTCGCTCAGTCGTTTGTTGCGTAAGATTTTGGGGGCTGATTCGTCTTGATTTACTTCTAAAGTATACCTACGGTAATATTAGCTTTTTCATGTGAGCATTCATTACAGTACAAGGAGGGGGCGCATGTGGATAAGCCCATGCTATAACTATGGAGTTTGTGAGAGTACCTTTCTTAATACCCGGCGACCCCATCTAAGGATGTATTTTCATATGATCTGTCGTCCTTTGAATATTTGCAGTGTCTGTCTCTACCTATAACGCATCAATACTCTCGTAACAAAACAGGTCTCCAGAGTTTTCTGTATCTGGTGATGGTGTTTGAGAGGGCTCTAAAGCTTTAGTAACGCATAATAGCTCCGAAAGGCGATTGGTAGTGGTATCTATCATTTTTTTAGACTGTATTTATCCTCTTCTTTTTTAGTATGATGCTGGATAATGCATATATGAAAAGTATAGCTGTTGAAATTAAATCAACTTCTATGCGGAATGCATTTTTAACAATTATATATAGATAATGGTCCATGCCTACAAAAAGTAGCCTATACACGCAAAATACAACGTGATATGTGTTTATCCTAGGAAACACAAAGCAGAATGATCAGAGTCGTCGTCCCACACTCGTTTGCTGTGTTTTGGTCTTTTCTATTTTTTTCTGTTGTTTTATGATTATGTTATTAATATGCTTTAATTTTGTTTCGTGCTGTGCACTCGACCTACGTAATGATCTCAGGATTCATTTGCATTGAAAAGAAATAGTATATGTGTAACAATACTCGTATCAATAGGCTAATTAAGTAAGACTCAAATAAAGTATCTGCCAGCTAAAATAGAAGTGGTGGTTAATATTTATCCAAGTAGGCTTTTCTTACCCGTGAAGAAACCCTGATAACACGTTAAGTGTGGGACATGACGCAAGGAGATCCTGCGGCCAGGGGTGCAAATGAGCCCATTGATACCAACCAACCCTCTCTCAGGGCACCAGATTCTAACCAGAACCCAAGTGGACCGCAGCCGAGGGGTCCTCACATCCAGGTGCCCCCTAATGAGAGTGGTGCTGGGATTACCCTGCCGAAAGTCATTTCATCTCTGGAGGCCGAGCCACAAGAAAAGGAAACCCCACCGGATTCGAAAGTCAGCGATGATGTGTTAAGCTTCCCGGTGTATCTCCAGAACGGCAGCGTACACCACGCCATGACCTTCGGCGATGATCAGAAAGATGAGCCAATCATAGAGACCTATGATCCTGCCATCAAGTGGTGGAGCCTTTCCCTCGAAAATGTGTTTAATCTGGTCAGGCTGATCGACCCCACTAGCGGGCTCGACGTGGAAGAGGTTCCAGAGCACGCCAGGGATTTGGGGGATAACCGAATTCGGATCCAAGGGGGGCCCAAATGGTATTTTATCTTAGCCAGACAATTCCTGAATGCCATCACACTCATCCTGGGCATTGTGATCGTCATCAGTATCATATTCAAAGACTGGGCGGAGTTCGGTGTGGTGCTCGCCATTGTAATCTTCAACGGAGGTCTGGGCTTTTACCAGGAGTTCAGTGCGGAGAAGTCCATGCAGAGTCTAAAGGAAATGACAGTAGGTGTGGCGCGAGTGATCCGCAATGGTGCCCCCGAGGTCATTTTTATTCATGAAGTTGTTGTGGGGGATGTGATTATTCTCGAACAGGGTGCGTGTGTGCCTGCCGACTGCCGTGTTTTTGAGTCTAACGGCCTGGAGGTGGATGAAGCCCTGCTCACCGGGGAGGCGCTGCCGGTCCTCAAACATGCCAAAGTCATCCCAGATCCCGAAAGTCGCTGTGCGTTAGGCGATCGCAAGAACATGGTCTTCCGCAATACGCTCGTTACGCAGGGCCGCGGCAAGGCGGTCGTGATTGCGGCAGGCCCGCACACGGAGATGGGGAAACTTGCCAAGCAGCTGAGCAGTTCCAAAGGGAATGAGAAGACGGATTTGATGGTGAAGCTGGATTACATGATGTACATTCTTTTCGCTTGTGCCATTGTGTTGGGGGTTGTGGTATTTGCGGTGCACAAAATGGAGTTTAACGCGTTAATCTTGTCATACGCGACGGCTGTCGGAATTGCCATCTTTCCAGAGTCGCTGAGCGCCGTCATCACTGTGGCAATGACGGCCTCAATGAAACAAATGGCGCAGAAGAAGTGTATCGTGCGGAAGCTGCCCGTGCTAGAGGTTATCGGTGGCGTTACGGATATCTGCTCCGACAAGACCGGGACCCTAACGGAGAATAAAATGGTTGTCAAGAAGGTTTTGATTGGTTCCAATGAGACTTACCTGGTGACGGGCGCGCCGTACGATGTCCATGGCATGTTTGTTCCTATCAACGAATATGGCGTGGAGGAAGAGGCCCTTGAGATTCGTCATAAGTACCCAGATTGTCCGCACATTTATGAGTTTTTCAGGTGTTGTGCTCTTTGTAGCAGCACCATTTTACGCATTTCAGATGATGATATGGACACGCTTGTTGGCAACGGCAACCCCACTGAGATCGCGGTACAGGCTATGACGTGGAAAGCGCAGCTCAATCGGGATCAGCTTGAGGGTGAGGGCTGGGTTTGCCTTGCGGAATATGCTTTCGATTCCACTATTAAGCGTATGTCCGCTGCATGGTATAAAGCCTCTAGTAAGGAGCTGTACCTTTGCACGAAGGGCGCTCCAGAGCGTATTCTCGACCTCTGCACCTATATCTTCGACGAAAAAGGAGCCAAGACTCTAATCACCCATACAGACATTGAGAAGATTAACCATGTGATCGGAAGCATGGCCAGGCAAGGTTTACGCACGCTTTGCTTTGCGTGCCGCGACGAAGGGATCGACCGCTTTCCTGTTCCTAAGGACAAGCCTTTTGCCGACCTTCACGTGCGCAGCGACATAGAACACGATCTGGTTTTTCTGGGCGTCGTCGGCATGTATGACCCGCCTCGGCCGGAATCGCTTCCGTCGATCATCGCCTGTCAGCACGCCGGGATTCGCGTGCGTATGCTCACCGGGGATCACATTTTATCCGCCGGTACCATCGCCTCGATGCTGAATATCATCCCGAATGGCGATGTGGATGATCCCATCAAGTTGCAGGCGGGGCCCGACTTCGACAAGCTCGACGATGCCACCATCGACGCGTGGGAGGATCTTCCCTACGTCATCGGCCGGTGCTCGCCCGAGTCGAAGGTGAAGATGATCGAATCCCTGCACCGCCGCAAGCGCGTCGTCGCAATGACGGGCGACGGCTTTAACGATTCTCCGAGCATCAAGATCGCGAACGTCGGCTGTGCTATGGGTTCCGGCGTCGACGTTACCAAGGGCGTCGCCGATCTCATCATTATGGACGACAACTTCGCCACCATCGTAAAGGCGATTGCGGAGGGCCGACGCATCGCGCAGTGTATTTGTAAATTCATCGTCCACCTGCTCTCCAGCAACGTGGCGGAGGTGATCGTGCTGATCTGCGGCCTCGGGTTTAGCCATGAAGGGAACACGCTCTTCATCCTCTCCCCACTGGAGATTCTTTGGCTAAACATGCTCACCTCGGCGCCCCCGGCGATCGGCCTTTCCATGGACAGCCCCACGGAGGACATCCTGCTCGTTCCGCCAAACACTCGTGGCGTCTTCAGCCTTGAGTTGATCATGGATACGTGCATTTACGGCCTTTGGCTGGGCGCCGCTTCGCTGATTGGATTCGTCGTCATCCTCTACGGCTTCGAGAACGGCCCCGCCGGCCACGACTGCAACAAAAGGACCGGAACGATGGAGTGCAAACCGGTGTGGCAGGCGCGCTGCACCGCCTTCAGTATTCTCTACTTCGGCCTCTTTATACACGCCTACACTGTACGCCACCCACGCCTTTCGATCTTCCGCATGAAGTGGCTCGACAACATGTGGATTTTCGGCTCCGTGGTGATGGGAACCGTGCTGTTTATCCCGATCGTTTACGTTGACGCGATCGCGCACAACATCTTCGTGCATCACATGATCACGTGGCACTGGGCTGTCCTCGTTGTTGCGGTTCTTTCCTTTTTGGGTTTATGCGAGTTGTACAAAGTCATCAAGAATATACTTTACCCCATCAAGAGGCTTTCCGTGTTCTTCGACGAAGAGGAAAGATCCGAGATACTTCAGGAGTATCGCACCTTTACTCACACCGATCACGACGCGCGCTCCCTCACCGAGATCAACGAAGAAAACCTGCGCATGTCATTCGCATCGTTCGCGCATGGCGTTGGAACGACCAGCACGGCGTCGTTCCGGTTCCCACCTGAAAGGAGAAAATCGATCAAGAAGAAGAAAAAGCGCTTAGCCGGTTATAACTCTTCCTATGGGGTAAATGTAAGATAAAAAGGGATAAATATTTTATTTAGTTGGTGTTAGTGTTGCAGTTTAGAAGGTCCGATGAAATAATATAAAGTATTTAGGCGGAAGAAGTTTAAGTGGGATTAAACTCAGCTTTATTTCCTGCCTGATAAACTGATTAATGCATCTATAATATATAATTATATAACTATAAAAGAATTTTGGTGATAAAAATACATCATATGACAATGCACCTTATTTCTTTTGTTCAAGACATATTTATCTGTCTATATTCATATTAGTGTAATGTTTTTGCATTAAACTTTTTGCTTCATGAAGAGGAAGGGATGACCTCAGGTACGCTCTTCATCCCTTACGCCCCAATGCAGGAACAGTACAACATTACTGTAAAATTTGTAATAGTGTTCGAGATTTTTCTGTATACCTGTCTAATTCCTTTTTTTTTGCAGGTATACCCCAATGCATGATTTTTGTTGCGTTAAAAAATGAATTAAAAGGGTGCAAAAAGGGAAAAATCTAATGGACAGATTAGAGGCATTACGTTTTTCTCTATCCTATAGTTGATCGAACGCAATTGATTATGGATTTTTCCCTCCGGTCTAAATGAGGTCAGTTGCGAATGGGATGATTTAACGAATTAGAAAGAGTAATTTGGGGAAAACCTTAGTTGCTTTTTCTTTCCGATACAAGATCGTGTCTTGACAATATTAGGAAATATTTGTACATGACATTTGTGAAGCACATGCCAACTTAATGCTATAAACTGAATACATTGTTCATACTTGGTAGAAATCTTTTTCTTTGTCTTGAGCTACTTTGGCTTTGAAATTAATTGGTCTTCTAAATAGTGTGTCCAATGTTATCACAACGTCAAGGGATTAATTGGTGAAAGTATGGATTATGAAGTGCACTTTATCACATGGATTCGACGGAATTAAGATATAGAGTTCCCGATTCTATTTTTCAAAATTTCTATGGCGTATAATTCATTACGGACAACTGATCCTTTGTGGAATTTGTTCTTTTTCCAGCGTTTTTTTTTTGATTTACACAACATGATGAAATACTTTAGCGCGATTTAAATTGGGATAAAGTAATACAGAATAGCGAAATACTTTTCTATTCATCACCTTCCTGTTCTAGCGTACATATTTTTCTTCACCATAATGTGTACTGTTGGTCGTTTTTATATTTCATAGATCCCATTTTCCAAAACTAAGCCTGCTCTAGATGTAATTCTAAGCTCTTCATGTCTCTCAAAGACTTTGTCACTCTTTTATTCCTTTTCATACGGCTTTGAATTTAGTACTGTACATATTTTTAATACAAATAGTATTTGTCTCCATATTGCTAAAGCTCTAAGCTTTTGTATAAACATATAAGTTTAAGTCCCTTTTTCTTAGCCTTAAAAAATACAAAATCAGGAGACGAGGGTATTGACTAAATCGAACTTTAGTTCTATTGCCCGGCTCATCTGCTTTTCGATACGTGCGCACTGTAGTTAAGGCAGGTGCTATTGTTTTGCATCTTTTTTTTGTATGCGTGTTTGTTTGTTGTTACTCTTTGAGAATCAATCATGTCATTAGTAAGCAATCAGCGTGTTATGGTAGCGGTTCGTGTTCGGCCTACCCTTTCCAAGGGCTCTAGCCTGCAGGTGCAGGAGAAATTCGAGTTTCAGGCCGTTTATCAAACCAGCGACACCACCCTGAGGGTTGAACTTAGTAGGCCTGGCGACATTACCAAGAGTAGCACCTTCACCTTTGACTACATCTTTGATCAGGAGAGTACGCAACTGGAGGTGTATGAGGAAGCTGTTGTCGGCATGGTCGAAGGGGCGCTCGTTGGCTTTAACGCCACCGTGCTCGCGTACGGCCAAACCGGCGCCGGCAAGACCTTCACCGTCCTGGGAGATGTCAAGCCTAACCCCTTAGAAAATGATCTTCTCACGAAGGATAGCGGCCTCTTTCTGCGCGTCCTGAGCGACCTCCTCGAGTTCAAGGTTCGCCAGGCGAAGAAGGGCTGGCACGTCGTGGTGGGGCTCAGCTGTATTGAGGTTTATTGCAACAGCATTCGGGATTTGTTTGGCGGCAAAGCTGGTCAGGAGGCACCCGAACTAAAGGCCAAGATGATTAACGAGAACGTTTTGCTGCCCAATCTTACCGTCAAAGAGATGACTTCGCTTCAGGCTCTTTTTAACGAAATCCAACTCGCCATCTCGCGTCGACAGACGCGCGTGACGGAGTCGAACTCCGCTTCGAGCCGCAGCCACTGTATCTTTTCGATTGATATCATCCAGCAGGCGAGCTCGGCGCCACCGCCATCGTTGGATCAGCTGGATCGGCTGTCGAGCCTCAACCCTGACGACGTCGCCGCGCAGCGAAAGGGAAACGCTCCGAATGGCAGCCCCACGCATGGCAACGGCAGCAGCCGGAGCCCCGCGAGCGAACGGGGGGTGGGGTTAAACAAGTGGGAAATGCCCTTTAAAGGGACGGTGCTGCGCGTCCCTGGGCAGAAAGAGCCGTTGTATTGTAGCAAGATCGTCCTTGCTGATCTTGCCGGTAGTGAGCGCATCGACAAAAGCAGGGTGGTCGGGCAAGGCCAAAAGGAGGCCACCTCGATCAACTCGAGCCTGACTGCGCTTGGCAACGTCGTGCACAGCCTATTTGAGGGCGGCTACGCGAGTTATCGCGACTCTAACTTGACGGTCCTTCTCAAGCCGAGCTTCTCGCAGCCGGCGTCGCGTGTGCTGCTGCTCGCTCAGTGCTCGCCCACGCAGCTCACCTTCGAGGAGACTGTTAGCACGCTGCGTTTTGCGAACAAGGTTAAGGCGCTCAAAGTGGTCACCTCGACCGGCGTCGAGGTGGAGAAGCTGCAGCTTGAATATATCGAGCAGAACAAGAACTACGACGCCATCTGCGCTGATCTCCACATCTTCACGACAGATCAGCTCGCCAAGGCGCCACTGATTCGACGAAGGTGTCCACAAAACTGCGGTTTGTACTACGACGTGCCAGTTGGTGGATCGAACGGCAAGGCTAAGTTGAACGGCAAAGATCGGTACACAGTTCTTGAGAGTATAGGTGCGATTGCTGCGGCTCAGGAGGAGCGTGCCGCTTTGTTAGACAAGCAGGAGCGTGAAAAGCGAACAAGGGATGTCCAGATGCGGAAAGCCATTACTGAGGAGCGAGATAACCTCGTGGAAGAGGCTAAGGCTGCAATTATCGAGGCCCAAGCATCCATCAAGCAAGAAGTTAATCTGTGCAAATCATATTTAGTGGAGCGGATGTACTTCGAGTCTTCTGAACGGGCAAGACAAATAATGGATCAGGCGGACACTGAGTGGGCTGCCCTTGTGTCTAATTTCAAGGAGAAGTATTCTGTGCTTCTAAAAAATAAGCTTGCCCAGATCTCAGATCTTTTTGCGAACGTTTCTCGTGACTTAGACTCGATGAAGCCTTCCACAGTGTTAACCAAGGATTCAAGGCTTATTGAAGACGACATGCGGTACTCGTTGTCAGTATGGGCGCATTGCATCGGTAAGAGGACCTTTTCACGGTTCTTGGAGCTGCAAGAATATAAAATGCAACTGATAGAGTACCTTAAAGGCAATTATAGTCTGGAAAGATGGCAAAAAAGCAACGTGGATGCTGCAAAGTAGTTTTCAGTATGCGATCCTTCCTCGGATGGTACACAATAGTAATTGGGAAATATAGCTGTAATAAGGAGGATAAAAGAAATGAAATAGCTCAAAGAATGTGAAAAAGGGTCGACTTCATGAAAAGTAGTATTAAGCAACATCACATTAATGAGGCAAAAGGTGATCAATATCTTAGAGAGTGTGCGAGATTTCTAGTTCAATTCATATCTTGAAAAATCTGCTGCGAGCCTTACTAATGACGATTTATCGTTCTGTATACTTCTTAGCTAAATGTATTCGAGGCAGAGTACATGTATCATTCCTTAATTTCCCATGGTATGTAGTAACTCACATTGAGGTACAAAAAATGCTGAGCAACTGAGGAGTCAAAAGTTATAGAAGCAATACATGACAAGCGAGACAAATAATGGAGTAACTATTTAACTTAGATCATTCAGACAAATAATTTTTCATTCATCAGGAAGGCCCTCTTTTTTTTACTTTAGTGCGTTCTGTAGTGTGGCCTCGTACTTACTTTAAATTGACTTTTTAAATTCTACAATTCATCATTCGAAGCATTAGCACATATCGCTTCCCTTTCTCTTCGCTCCCCCCCCACTCAAAAAAAAAAAGGCGCAGCATTTCTACTCGTTTGCAATGTATTCCTCCCAACATTTTAGATAATGCTCGTGCAGAGGATATCATTTCTTTTTTTCTTAATCTTAGACAATTTCACAAATCTAATTTGGTATTTACATCTATATCTTTGTTTGGTCTTTTTCTGTTTGTTTTGGGCTATTTTTCAATTTCGGTTGTTATCAAACGTTTCTCTCAACTGGCTCCTTTTCTCGAGAATTTGATGAACTGAGGAAGGCTATTTTGTCTTAATATCTGTGACAACATGGAAGGAAAGAGTGAAGTCTGAAGGTAAAGAAAATTCAAGTTGCCCCTGGCTCTTATTATGTTGTGCAGGCTTTAAAAGGTGCTTCCACAGAAGATATACCCACAGCGGTAACAAAATTTTAATTCTCGTTAATTGATTTTTCAAAAAATTGCATACTGTTGAGGTTCTTGTTTAATGAACTATTCAGGCTTATCAGCGATCTAGACTCGTTTATAGGGGTGTCTACTGCAATTCTAATAAGGATAGCCTATATTCATGATTGAACGAGCCATAGAAAATATGCTTGCTGAGTGGCCACTGGTCTGAAGACGTAATTGAAGAGTTTAATATTTTTATTATTATCTTCTTCCGCTAATTCTGTATAAATTCATTAAAGCCTCAGCAACACAATGTTCTACTGTGAACTAAATCAACAGTGCAGAAAGAAAAAGAGGCCATAAGAATATCTTTCCGGTCATAAATTTACTCTGGAAGAAATATCCAGGCTCATTTGCAAGTTTGATAACGTAATTCACGATTGCGTGGAGCTAATTTATTGATTGGTGACGGTGTGTGTGTGCGTGGGGGGGGGACTGCATCATTGTGTGCACCTCTCATTATTTTCTGTCTAAGTTGCGTAGACTATATATATATATATATGAATATATATATATAAATATTTGATCCACTGTACATTTTTGAATCACTTTATAACCTACCCTGAGCCAAGTATATTGAATAATGATATCTAGCATTTACTCGATCATTGTATTGTTTTCAACTATACCGTCATTATTTTACTAGTCTGGCGTTATTAGGTTACAAAATTAGCTGTAAGCGATAATAAGGGGGAAGCTACTACATACTTAAACGCTTTCGTCTGTTGTGGATTAGAGTAGATACTTCCTTTTTTTTTACGTTTTCAATAATGTCCTCTTCTGCTCTGACTACGATCCCGATGGTCGCGACGGCTGAGGAAGCCAAGAGTCTTGTTGCTTCTCTGCGGCAAATTCCAGGAAACAAAGTTTGCTTTGACTGTCCCAACAAAAGTCCGAGTTGGTGTAGCGTCAGCTATGGCGTCTTTCTCTGCATGGACTGCTGCGGCAGACATCGCGGGCTCGGGGTGCACATCTCTTTTGTGCGCTCCACGGAGCTCGACATCTGGCGGCCGGATGAGGCGCTGCGGGTGGCGTTGGGCGGCAACGCGGCCGCGCAGAAATTTCTCCAGGAGCGCGGCATCATCGATCGCAAGGCGTGGTACGGCACCCACGTCGGCACCGTCTACCGCAAGCAACTCGACCGAAGCGTCTCCGAGGCGCTGGCGGCCGTCTGCGGGAATCTTGTCGGGGTCCCCCCTGAGGTGGCGGTTGTCGTCCTGAAAGGACGGTCGACCTCCGAAGAGGAGAGTCGGATTACCGAGGGCTCCGGCCTGCTTCCCGCCTCGTCGTTCCCGGAGCTGGACGGGAGCGAGGGCAGCGCGGGGTCTTCCGTGCGGGTGACGCCGACCCTCGCTGGCCCCTCGAGGTTCGGTGGGGCGAAGAAAACCACCAAGCGAAGTTTCGGCCTTGCCGCCGCGCTAAAGCCGCTCGAGAATGGATCGATCCAGGAGGCGAGCACGCCGGTGCCCACGGAGCTGCTCTACCGGACCCCGGCCGTGGAGCCCGCGAGGACGACCCTGGAGCGGCCGCCCCTTCCCAACCGGCCGAGCCCCTCTAAAAAACCTCTCGTGGCGTTGCGTGACGAAGGGGAGGAACCGGCGGAGGCCCACACCGGGCCGGACTTTCGTGGGATGGGCAATCAGGCCTTCGCGTCTGAAGCGGTGGGGATGCGATATGGCGACGTGGATGGGGATCGTAACGGCATCCTGACGGAGGCGACGGGTCAGATGAGTCAAATTTGGGATTCACTGAAGAGCTCCGTTTCTGTGGCGCAAGAAAAGTATGGTGAAACGCTTAAACGTTTTTTGGATGATTTTTAAAAAAAAGTGGAATCACGTAGACATGAAGGGGAGGGGGGGGGGGGGAGTGCCCCGATACTGGGTTACGGCTGGTCGAAACTATGGTTAGTACATGTATACCTTCCACATCCCTCTCTATGTATGAATTTCAGAGCACTCAATATTTTTTTGAAATACTTGTTACTCGTTTCCTTTGTTTTTTTTTTGCTTTCTTCGTAATAATTACTGGTATCAAAAAAAGCTTAAAACTGGCTAGATATTTAACAATAAACTCTATACAGTTTTTATATTCATTCTGGCGTAACAGTGGTGTGAGAATGTTGCGATTTAAGATACTATGGAGCTGTAGTTGGAAAGGGGTTTGATTAATAAGAAAAAAAAATCAAAAATGCCCTCTGCTGATGACCTATTTTTGTTTCCTACTTCAGGCTTTATCATTGACTCCTTGTATACCTCTTACTAAAGTACAGTATGAGAAGCTGAGGGAGATTGCATCTAAAATACTTAAACAATAGTTGTATAAACATATATCTACTAAACATTTGTAAAACATGGTTTGCATCTTTAGTACGATTGCTGAACTGCTGCGCCGCCCCTTTTCTGCCGCAGTGTCCTTCCAAAAGCAATTTGTGGATGATGTCGTAGATTCTCTCAAGGCACAGAAAGATCGGTACGCCCGTCATAACCGTGATATTCAGGAGCGTGCAATGCAGCTTCATTTGGACTCTCTAGAGGTGAATTATCTTTGTTGTGTGTGTTTTACACCTGGAAAGGAGCGCGACAGCGAGGCTCAGGTTGAAAATGCGTTCATCATGGTCAAGATTCCCCCCAAAGAGTTGATTGAGGACGCGATCGCTAGGACGGCAGAGGGTCTCGAGACAAAAAGCCCCAAACTGTGTGGTTCGGAAGATGCACTTGGTAGCTCCTTAAAGAAGACACCCTATGATCTTAAGTCGAAGGGCTCAGAGTTGGTGAACTGCGCCAACTCTATACAGCAGACCGTTTCCTTGGGCGAACTTACCAAAAGAAACGGTGCAACGGCAAGACTTTCTGATGGGGATTCCATCTCAAGTGATAGTGGGAAAAGAATGAATTCGCGAGAATGGAGTGCACCTCGTTTTCATAAAGGCTATGGAGGTGGGGCTGAGCCTAATGTGAGTACGAAAACAGGTGTTGCTTTAGTTTTTCGGAAGAAGCCTTTGCCGGAGGTCTCCACTGCTCTGGATCCCGCGCAGGTCCCTCCAATCGAGGTGAATAGTATGATTAATAGGATACACAAGCTTCTCATCAAAAAGGGATCCCACGGCGCCCCCCGCACTGTGGCACCCATTCGAGATAAAGGACTTATAATGATTGAAGACTCTGATATTGAATTATTTTCATACTTTTTTCGACGTCCTGTGCGAGGTTATCTGTGTGAGCAATGCTACACCTGTGTCCTCAAAAGCCTAGACGCCCTTTCATACCATATCCAAACTATCCTGTTCAAGGCCAAGCATCCCTTGCTCCGCAAGACGCCATCAAAAGAGATCGATCTGTTTTTATCGACGAAGTCGACGTCCTTGGTGTCGGGAAAAAATCTTTTAGGCTCCCTCCATCAACCGTTAGAGGGTGATTGTGCATGGCGTGAGAAGGAGGGCCCGCACATGGCTGCATCGTGGTCCCATCAAGGCAGCCGCCCTTCTATCAAGGCCGGCGTACGGCTGTCGAGAGACGCTGCGGCGATTCCAGACGGCCTATCAAGACTATCGTTAAATTGCAAAGCGAATGAACCAGGTCACACCGTCCTAGACGATGACATCATCCTCTCCCTTCGCGCAACGGTGAAGTGTGGTGTCTGCCAGAAGCGGCCTTGCAGCTTTTTTGTGCAGATCAATGCGTTATTTATTTGTGAATTTTGCTGTGTGTGGGATCGTTTTTATCGCAATCATGCGATTTGCATCAACGACGAGGCGATGCCGTTGAAATGTGCTTCCTTGCTCACAGAGCTCTCCACATACTATAAGCAAATCTACATTCAAAAGGAGCTTCGAGCTATGCCTCAAACCGAGCTTCAGACCGCACCCAGGAGCCTTTTCTCGCCTGAAGAAAATATTTTTCACACGCAGAATTTACCAAATACTTATGGCATACTCCAAAACGGTGAGGAGACACCTACAGCAAGTAATATGGGTGCAACAACGGCTCCGCCGGTCATCGAGGAGCGACCTTTTTATACCAAGGATGCCCTTTCTGAAGCACGTGATCCGCGGGCTCTAGTAGGCAGCACTAGGCTTAGTTTGTTTGCGGATATATGTTTGAAGCAGAAGGGGGAGCCAGATTTGTTTGAAAGTGCTATTACCGAACCTCAGACACCGCTTCTTGAAATCGATGGCTCCAGGCAGCTCCCTCGGAGCGATGTTGATCCTCCAGCACCATATAGTCCAAATGGCAACGATATTTCCTTTTTATTCCAGTAATGAATAATAGTAAGGTACAATCAAAATTTATTTATTAGTTGGCGTTATATCTGTCGGTTTGCTTTATTTTTGGACCCTGGAAACTGTTGCGTCTATTTTTTTCCGTTATTTCTATATGTCTAACCTTTAGACCAATGATATATAACACTGTACTGTTCATCATGTACATGTGCTACGGCCTTTTCTAAAGCTGTTTCACCTTGGTTATCTTATTGTTTTAATATTCCTCTTCCGCTTTTTTTCTCCCCCTCATCCTCAGAAAAAGCTCCTTGACTTTAGTGAATTATACATTCGAAAAAGAGAAACTCATCACAAAATGCCCACTTATACAATTTTTTGCGACAACATCCCCAACGGCAGGGCCTTCTGCCAGATCAATGCATCAGTTACCCTCATTGATGCATTACCGGATTTGTTTAAGCAGCTTCGCCTATGCGAGGCTAATTTTGGTACTGTGGACCCTCATGGGTCTACGCTCTTTCTTTTTGACGAGTTCATTGGGAAGACCACTGCAAAGGTCGACTTGACTCAATCTCTTCATGAGCAGGGTGTCCTAGACGGTGCCTCACTTTATCTCGCAATGCCGGAGGCTAACTTATCCGATGACGGCGCAGCGCCGGTGCCCATGACCGAAAACCAAGTTTCCTCTCACTCATTTGCGCAGTCCAACACGTCGGAGCTCCCAATGACTTTTTCCCAATCGCCCGGTAACAAACCCCAAAGCATCCTCGATGGGGAGGAGCAGAGCCGCACACCGGCCCCCATTAGGCCTCCCAGTATTACCACCACGTCGTCCTCGGTGCGGCGCCGGACGTGTAACAGCCTGGGCAGCACCCAGACGCTGCGTGTGCAGCTGGACCCCGAGACACATATCATCGAAGTTCCATGTATGACTTCCCCCGAGCCTTTGATGATTCCGAGCGCCAAAACGATGAACGGCATGGTTGTGCAGACCCTTGCGGATATTGGCTCCGAGTTCTGTCCACACCTCCGCCCGATGCTGCAGTATTTAGCCAGCTTAATCCTTACCCGTCGCCCCAAAGACCCCGAACAATGCATTATAGATCACCTTGATGGAAAGCATCTAGGCGACTCACAGGTAGCCTCGAACGATCGCTTTTCTCATGCGAGACGCGAGAGCGACAGAATGCAGGAGGGCGCCCAAGGTGAAGTCTACGATGCTAACAGTAGTGCATCGAATGAAACGACTTCGCGGAAGTCTGGCGAGCATCCCCACCGCCAAGAGCGAGCCACAGCACCGTCATTGACGTCTTCTTTCTTATCGAATGGGCCGAAGACCGTTGCTGAACGCTTAGCCTCCGCGGCTCCGCCCGGTCCTGGCCGCAAATTTCTTCTAAAGCTGGCAAAGCTTCTCTTAGACGTCAAACCTCGCGATTCTGAGGAGTACTTGTGCACGCGACTGGAGGGTCGTTGCTTCAGTGAGGAAGTGGTCGCCACGAATGCGCTGATGCACTCCATCAGTGGGCTTCTCCTAGCGCCGCCCAATGACCCCACGGAGCTCATGCTACTGAAGGGGGTGCCGGTGGACTCGCCAGGCTACACGGTGGCGGTTAATGCCCTTTCGCTGCTCTTTGGTAAAAAACCGTCTAACCCTATCAACTATCTTTTCGACCATTTTATACACCGATGCCGATCGAGCACGGTCCACTCCGGCGCCTCTTCAAACAGACATCACACTGAGGACGACTCTGCCAGCAGCGTCTCGCACAACTTGTGCTGCTCCTATGTAGAAAACGCCGAGGGCGAGCGCGAGGTGGAGCCTATGAGCAGCGCAGAGCATGAACTGTGCATGAGCAACTTCCTCAAGGTGATCCAGAGCCGCTGCTCGCAGGAGGGCTTGACGCCACCTTGCAGCATTGATCTTCGTCGGTTGATGTCGTCCTCGCTTGGATGGGGACGGGATCGGCAGGGCGGGGCTCGTAACCAATCCGCATCTACCAAGGAGGCTAGCACCCAAACCCTCCTGCAATTTGGAATCCCCCGCTCTCAACCTCGAGAAGACACCAGTGGCAACAAAGCGGAACCCAGGCTTATTAACGCGTCCGTTGGTTCTTCACCTAAAGGCGGGGTGATGTCAGCTTTTCCAGTAGGTGCGCAATCCTGTGGCGCTGATAAGGATACTAAGCAGGGCTCCGGGACTCCATTTAATCCAACATTTAAGCCCTTGGGGTTCACGTTTGGTTCCGATCTGCCTTCTGAGGCAGTGCCTTCTACACAGGTTAAGCATTCTATTGCTTCAGGAAAAGGCGCGACACAAGAGAGAACCACCTCTCCCATGCAAAAAACGACCTCGTCTTCTCAGGGCTTCACGGCGAATTTGCCACAGATGTCGATCCCGTTGGAGGAACAGACCCGCATTTGTGCAGAATTCGATCAGTTACGGCTTCGTGGTGAGCTGCGGCAGGAACGTTTAATGCACGAAATCGCGACGTTGCGTCGTGAGAAAGAATATCGGGAGAGTATTGCCACGATTTACGACGGGGCCTCTGAAAAGAGCGCCGCCCAGGCCGCTGCGGAGGCTCTTTATCAAGCGGAGTGCCACTTAAAATTTTTGCAGGATCACGATCGTACGCTGCGGGAGATGATGCAACGTCATTTGCGAGCAGTTTCCCTTGCCACAACAGCGCACGCGGGTTCTGCCCAACCTTCAATAACTCCACTGCATCCCTTCTCGCTATGCCATTCTCTTTACCCGCCATACACCGCCACTCCCGCAGCACAGGGGTTTGGCTTACCACGATCGAGCATTCGTTCTGATGAATTCGCGGCTACAGAGCTGGAGATTTTAAAAAAGTGTGTGGAGTTGCTTGCTTTAGAACAGTATCGAGCTAGGGGTTATGCAGGAGGGGGAGATCCCGAATTTGGTGGTGTCTACAGCTAAAATTATGCACCCATACCCAGCTCACTTCCGGAACCCTGAATTCTATCTTGAGGGATGCCCTCTGTTGTACATCGGGGAGGGGATTCAACTGTAGGTAACGATGAACTGATATAGGTGGTGAAACGCAGGTGACTTGTAGAACATAGTTTCTTTTTTCTTTGTTACACTTAGAAAGCTTTAAAGTGCCCCTTTTCCTTACAACAAAACGTACCAAAATCGCATTTATTACAGGAGGATGTTTACATATTATGAAGCAATTGGAAGGGAAATGTGAAAAAAAATTAGTTGATCAAAGTGTAGTCACTTGAACGTTTTGTGTAACTATGAAAATGCTATTTTTTATTTTATTGTGTGTTACGGATGTTAATTGAATTCAAAGAAGCTAAGTCCTTCTTTTTGTTCATTTATATATATGAGCACCAGAGAGAAACTATCTTAATATATGATATTATCAAAATGTGTGAATATAGGAAAAAATGTCATTTAAGGCGTGTAGGCTTAGTTTGCCAGGTGAGTTCTTATGTTTTGAAGCACCGTATAAAGAAAAGAGTACTCTATCTCTATGGAATCAGAGGCTTTTGTGAACTCTTAAAATCCGCGCTTCTCCGTGTGACCATCTCTTTTCAAGGATTAGATACGTTAGCAGATACAGTCACACATTGTACACACATATACACACATACACACATAAATATTTGTGCTGATATATGCTGCACCTCAAATAGTTAATTTAGAAAGCTGAAAGAATATTTTTAAAATGAAGTTGTATGCGCTTTTAATTCTGAAAATGTTCCCCCAGGGTGTTGAGAAAGATCCAGTGATTTGCTCCAGTGCAATTGACGTTAGTTCCTTTGGCTTTTTCCAACGTGGATCAACCAAAGAGTTCATTATTTTTCTCTCTCGCACTGTGGCCAAACTTGTTTCTCCCGGTAGCAAGACTCAGATTACCGAAAATGGCAATGCTGTATACGCCTATGCCTCGCTTGACGGTCTGGTTGCTATTGCCATAAGTGATGTCGAGTACACCGGTCGTGTGGCTTTTACACTTTTATCGGACATCCTTCCTCTCTTCCAGAACACTTTCCGCGGGAAGTATTCGAATGTTGACGGGAAACCCGACAACTTCTTGCCTTGGCAGCACCTGCAGGACACTCTTGTTAAATATCAAAAACCAGAGGAAGTCGATAAAATTCTCAAGATCAAGAAGGATATTGAGGATACCAAGGTGGTGATGTACAATGCAATTGATCAAATTATTGAACGTGGGAATAAAATAGATGATTTGGTAGCAAAGAGTGAAGATCTAGGAATGGCAAGCAAGACATTTTATTCACAAGCCAAGAAAACGAATTCAGGATGTTGTGTGGTCATGTAGTCTTGAAAACAAAGGTGCTAAAATGTCTGAAAGATTTTCATTATCTAAATTGGAATGCTTTTTTTTTTGTTACATATACATGTATCCAAAAAAAAAAAAACACTTGTTTTCCTCCAGACAGCGTGTGCCAAAGGTTTTCTTTTGCTTTAATCTCTAAATATCCAGATGAGTCATTCAGATTACGAATCTCATTTAATATTGAAGAGTTGATCTCTAGACGCTATACTCAGAGAGAGTGTCTCTTTTGCTTACTCCTGGATTTCCTTATTCGTTTCCCCTATTAATACTTTATAACCCTTTTTATTATCATTTTACATCATATTTTTTATGTGCGTACTCCGAACTCTAATAGATTACCTCGATGCTGAAATGCTTAACCTAAAAATGTTATAACAAGTGAGGAATGGAAACGTGAATAACTTATTATTAGAGCTTGATTTTGTAGCAAAAAAACAATGTTTTAACAAAAAGTCCCACAGTATGAAAGCATAACTCATTTTCTAGTTTTTTTTCTATTTACTTAATCTGATCTACTTGAAGTGGTATATTGTTCTTCATTAAATACATATACATCTAGGATAGGGTAGATGGAGGCGCTTGATTTCTCGAAAACTAACGATTTTATTGAGTATGCCCATGAACTAGATGATACCTGTGGTGCTGAGGCCAACTCGTCGGCGTTCGACGAGGAAGAAGGAGTGGAGGGGGAGTCTGGGGAGTCAAGGGGGATTAGTATTCCAAATGTTGGATCTACCAAAAATGAAGCAGCTAAAGAATTTGGAGAGGTGGAGGCGTCAGAGGAGGTGCATTCACGCGACGAAAATCATAGTGTGGATGAAAGTGAGGATGACGATCACGAGGATGGTATCAATGAGATTTTATCGAGTGATGCAGCACAAACACTTGGGAATCACACACAAGTCAGCAGCTTAGGTTGGTTAGAGAAATCAAAACTACCGCCACACAACCATTCATCATGTTTCCCAACCTCTTCGTTTGCCTCTCCTGCTCCTTTTAATCCATCTCTACCACACCTATCTTCCCTAACTAAGGCGCAGGCTACGACAGCACCAACGTATCCCTCGGTGTTTGGACCTTTCAGCGCTTCTGCGGGATCGGGTGGTGCTCTTCCTGGGCCCGCTAGTAGCGTTTTCTCTACGTCTGCGATCTCGACTGAGCTACGCCAAGCTGGGGTGAACCCTGCTGAAAAGGTTACACCAACCCCCGCACTGACCAGTTCATGTCTTCCACCTGGAGGTTCAAATTTTTTTGAACCTAAGGGCACTTCAACAGGTAAGGGCAAGGCAAATTCACAGTTACGCACCTCCATTGCAGATCACCCTGCTGCCATGAAAGGGAAGCCGTTAGAGATCACACTACACAGTGATGGCATAACATCTTTACAATCTAAGGCGAGGGAAGACAACAAACCTGCACACGCAGCGTCGACGGAACAGCTTGCAGGAGGCCGCGACTCTTATTATCGGAGAAGAGCGGCAACGAAAAGCGTCCTGGATACCCCCCAGCTCCGATTCTCAGTGTTTCTAAGGGGAAGCACCTCGGACTGGTCAGGCATACATCCGAGTACACGCGAAGGGGAGGTCTTGGAAGGACAAAAGGTGCTTAGACGTTTTGAGCAGGTGGTACCTACAAATCATTAGAATAGTGGTTATATAAATGATACTTATCCTCAAAAGAGGGGTTTTGAGTCTAGAGGGTTAGACTTGAGAGTAAATTTAATTCAATTCTAGTGTTCACCGCCGCACAATTGTCTGCAAAAGGGCTCTCATTCCCTTTATCTCCCAACGGATTTGCTGCGTGTGCGCAGGGAGCCTAACATCTGATTGTTTTGCTGAGTTCACCAGGAGAGGCACCACGTGCCCTCATGTGCATCACTTGTTTGTTTCCCTTGTGCCGCAACTCTTTCATCTTGGCACAAAAATTCTGTCTTGGACCGAATAACTACAGCATAAGTTCTACGTATATTTGCGAGCACGCACATTCATACATACACATATTATCGTTTATATCATAAGTCCAATGAACCTTCTTTTGCTTACCATGAGGCTTCTTGCTAGAAGCGAGATTAAAGCCATCTGCATTGCGATTGCCGCAGCGATGATGGCGCCTTA